ACTCAGAGCACTCCAGTCCTACAAAGTTTGCACTGGTTGCTAATTTGCTTCCAAGTCTCATTCAGGAATACATCGGCATATAGAGGCCTAGAAAACTTGGGTCCAAAATACCGATGGGGCACCTCCTTCCTTGCAGGCAAGCTCTGGTGTTGAAGTCAGCTAGAGATGCTTTGCTGATATTGCCACCACACATTGAGGTCTGCAGAATTATGGTATGCAGGAAGGAGCGTCTCCAACCCCATCATTCTACCCGGACACTGAGGTCCAGCACCGAGGGCCTTCTGGCGGTTCCCTCACTGCGAGAAGCCAAGTTACAGGGAACCAGGCAGAGGGCCTTCTCGGTAGTGGCGCCTTCCCTGTGGAACACCCTCCCCACCAGATGTCAAAGAGAACAACAACTACCAGGCTTTTAGAAGACATCTGAAGGCAGCCCTGTTTCGGGAAGCTTTTAATGTTTGATGTATTATACTATTTTAATATTCTTTTGGACGCCGCCCAGAATGGCTGGGGAAGCCCAGCCAGATGGGCGGGGTATAAATAATAAATTATTATTATTATTATTATATTGAATAATCTAGGGTCTTTTAAACTGGGGGAGGGGTGATTGTTTGTTACTATGGTGTATATTTGTGTGTTTTTATATTGCAAACTGCTCTGTGATCCTCGGACGAAGGGCACTAAAGAAATTTAGTAAACAAACAAAGCAGCAGGGCCTTATCTGGTGTAGCTCCCAGGCTATGAAATACCCCACCACCACCACAGGGCCCTTCTGTGTTTTAGCTTCTGTGCAATTGTTTAAGACTAGGGGTGGACAAATCGATCAACTTTTGTTTCTCAATTTCCTTTTGTTTCTCCATTTTACCCCCACATCAGTTTTCTTGCCTGGAGAACTGAACTGCAAAATTCAGAGGTGCAAATTTCAAAGGACGGCTGTGTTTCAGTTGGTTTACTGCTTCAGAAAATGGGAATTACAGGAGGTCTTTTTAATGTGAACTGAAAAAACTCCCACCCCAACCCCTAGACACCTTTTTGCCCAGATCTTTTTGCCCAGATCTTTGCAGATCTTTGAACAACACACAGCTTCCCTTTCGTAGTATTGCAATCATTGGCTGTTGTTTTAACTGATATTTTAATGTATTTTCTGTTACTTTGATAGGTATAAACCCTACCCTTAGCTTTGTGGGTGCACCACTCCATGCTGTAGAACATTATTCCAGCAGAGATTTAACAGACATTCTCGCTTTTCACTCCCAGGTATCCCTAGATAACTCTTTCATGCCAGGAGGCTGATGTACTTGTTCACAATTTTGTTGAGTAGGCAGCCATTTTAATGACTGTCCTGCATCGCTTTTAAATTGCCTTTTTTCCTAAGTGTTTGACTATCATTGCACACGCCACCTTGATATTTTATGAATGGGTGGTTTATATAAATACCTTTTATAATAAATAAATTCATGGCTAAGGACTGAAGTCTTCCCCCTCAAAACCCACTGGGATGTGCATGTAAGAATAGCCTACTGAATCAGGCTGGTGACCCAGCCTAAGTTGGTTATCTTGTTTTCAGTGTCACAAACCAGATTCCTAGAAGCCCACATGCAGGACTTGAGCACAGCAGCACCACTCGCCCCGCCTGCGGTTTCTAGCAGCCGTTATTCCGAAACACAGTGCCTCCGACCTCGCAAGCAGAAAATAGCCATTGCGGCTAGTAGCCGCCATTGATAGCCTCTATGAATTTGTCCAGTTCTCTTTAGAAGCCGTCCGAGTTGGTGGCCCTCGCTGCCTTTTGGGGGGCATGAATTGCACAGTTTAATGATGTGCCGTGCGAAGAAGTACAGTGGTACCTCGGGTTAAGAACTTAATTCGTTCTGGAGGTCCGTTCTTAACCTGAAACTGTTCTTAACCTGAGGTACCACTTTAGCTAATGGGGCCTCCTGCTGCCGCCGCACGATTTCTGTTCTCATCCTGAAGCAAAGTTCTTAACCTGAGGTGCTATTTCTGGGTTAGCGGAGTCTGTAACCTGAAGCGTCTGTAACCCGAGGTACCACTGTACAGTGGTGCCCCGCAAGACGAATGCCTCGCAAGACGGAAAACCCGCTAGACGAAAGGGTTTTCCGTTTTGGAGGTGCTTCGCAAAACGAATTTTCCTATGGGCTTGCTTCGCAAGACGAAAATGTCTTGCGAGTTCCTGCAGGGTTTTTTTCCTCCCCCCCCTTTTCCCCAAGCCGCTAAGCCGCTTATCAGCTGATCCGCTAAGCCGCTAAACAGCTGATCCGCTAAGCCGCTAAGCCGCTTAACAGCTGATCGCTAAGCCGCTTATCAGCTGATCCGCTAAGCCGCTTATCAGCTGATCCGCTAAGCCTGCTAAGCCGCTAATAGTGCTAAGCCGCTAAGCCGCTAATGGGCTTGCTTCGCAAGACGAAAAAACCGCAAGACGAAGAGACTCGCGGAACGGATTCTTTTCGTCTTGCGAGGCACCACTTTGTCTGGAATCTTACAGAATTCAGCTTCACTGGATGTGACTGCAGAACGCCCCCCAAGGACAGGCTCAAGCACCCCTCTCAAGACTCCGAACCTGAGTCCACCTCCCACACAAGCCACGCCACACAAACTGCTTGCACCCAGGTGACTGAGGGCGTGAGCAGGGCACAACGCGAAATATACGAGTTGGGCCTGCTGCCTGCCTCGAGAGCAGCTGCTCCACTCCGTGTTTTGCGAGCTGTGAAGAAAAGAGGTGCAATGCACAGGCCTGCAGGAGGTGTGTGTGTGTGCGCCGATTCTTTGAAGGTGGGTGGCATGCCTGAATTAGACCTCCGCTACGGACAGCCCCATCGTTAGGGCTGTAATTGCAAGCAGGTGACCATAGAGCTTTCATGTATTTTCATTAGCCTCCCAGACCCGGAAAAGCTGGCGTTGTCCCCGCACGGGACTCCGTGGGTTTGAATGCACCTTCCATCTGGAGCCCAGGCACACAAGGCTAATTCACCAGGTCACAGGAAGTTTCCTTCGACTGATGCAAAAGGCCTAAGATGTGTTGATGCCTAAACTAGCACTTAACGGATAAACCCTCTCCTCCAACAGGAAGCTGCCTTACCCCAAGTTGGATCAGTGCTATGTCAGCCGGAGTATTGTCTACATCACTTGTGGTGGTAGATCTCTGGCCCAGGGGCCAAATGTGACCTTCCACATCTCTCTGGCCATGCTCCCTGCCACCTCTGCTTTGCACCCTGCCTCGCATCTAGCCTTGCTGGACTTTTTTCTTTGAACTCCAACAGTGCCTCATGTTTGGTTTGAATATGTGTTTTTTTGTGTGTGAACTAACTTACTTTCTAAAGGCAAAATTTACATTTGTTGCCCCACCCACTTTTGTCTCTGGCTCCGCCCACACTAGCATGTGGAACCCCTACCCACTGCCAAGGTGGTTGCCTAGAAGGGAAAGCTGAAAAATTTCCTTGCCCTGCTTTAAAATATAATCTGAAGCCTTATAGTACAGTGGACACTTGGGTTGCGAACGTGATCCGTGTGGGAGGCACGGTTGCAACCCGCAGTGCCGCATCTGCATATGTGTGGGTTGCAATTCGGTGCTTCTAAGCATGCGCAAAGAACGATTTAGTGCTTCTGTGCATGTGCGAGCGCCGAAACCCGGAAGTAACCCATTCCGGTACTTCCAGGTTTAGGCGCGTCCGTAACCCGAAAAAACGCAACCTGAAGCGTCTGTAACCCGAGGTATGACTGTATAATATATACGCTCCTTGGGGTGTCAATCACACTGTGCTCAACTCATTTCCAAGTCAGCATGCACAAGATCGCAGCCGTACGAGATTGCAGTTGTACAGATCACTGCTCTTTGCCTGGTATGTCGGGACCTGCTAGTGGGTTATGGCCTGATCTAAGCTGGGTTGCAATAGGAGCACGACCGGCCTGCAAATGTAAGATTAAGAAATAGGGCTCCAAATGCTTGGTGGGTTAAAAGTGGGTCCTGAGTCTGAAGAGGCTGATACCTTTTAACTCAGAACCCAGAGTTTTCAGTAGCACTTTCTGCCCGGTAAGCGTGCAGAGGATTGCCGTTGGTTTCTAGTAGGAGCATTGTGCAGCACCCAGAAAACTGCCCTTGCGGCTTGCTTTGTAGCCACTTTGAAGGTGTACATGTAAGGTGTACTCTCACTCCCAATGACAACAGTTAGAAGGGTATAGCTGCTCCCACTGGGCCACAAACAGAGTGATACATCAACTCCTATATGGGGAAAGGTTACAAGACATGGAGCTTCCTAGTCGACATGGTAGGGACGCAGGTGGCGCTGTGGGTTAAACCACAAAGCCTAGGACTTGCCGATCAGAAGCTCGGCGGTTCGAATTGCTCGGTCCCTGCTCCTGCCAACCTAGCAGTTCGAAAGCATGTCAAAGTGCAAGTAGATAAATAGGTACCGCTCTGGCGGGAAGATAAACAGCGTTCCCATGCGCTGCCCTGGTTCACCAGAAGCGGCTTAGTCATGCTGGCCACATGACCCGGAAGCTGTATGCCGGCTCCCTCGGCCAATAAAGCGAGATAAGCGCTGCAACCCCAGAGTCGGTCACGACTGGACCTAATGGTCAGGGGTCCCTTTACCTTTACCTAGTCGACATGGTAAGAGGTGTGTTAAGATGTAGAGGAAGCAGACAGAAAAGGTTTTCTGTTTCTCTCGTGAGAACTTGGGGACGTCCAATGAAGCTGAACATTGGAAGACCCAGGACCAAAACTTTCTGTAAGAGGCAGTGACGGCCACCAAGCAAGACGGCTTTAAGAGAGACAAATTCACGGAGGATGAAGCTACCAGAGTCTACTAGCCACATCTCCACTGTTGGAAGAGAGCTGTTGAGTTCAGGTCCTGATTGCAAGCTTCTTAGAGGCCTCTGGCTGGCCACTGAGAGAACAGGACGATGGACTAGATGGGCCCTTGGCCTGCCCCAGCAGGTCCTTCTTATGTTCCCTTCGTTCCAGGAGACAGAAAAAGACCACCGACGGGTCCCGTGCCATTTTTAATAATAAAAAATCGCAGTAACAAAAGGGCAATTGATACAAAAGAGAGGCTTTGGATATGGCACGGATCTCAAATATGCCAGCTTTTCTTTTTCTCCTTTGGTTCCACGGCATCATGTTCCCCTGTTCCCTTCCGTCAGTTATTATTCTTATTTTCTTTTCTTTTTTTAAAAAAGTGTGAAGCTTGGTGATCAGCTTGACTGGCGTTCGGCAAGAGAGTTCTCTTTTGTTTCTGGAGCACATCCCGTTTCAGCTTCATTTATTCCTCCCGCTGTGAACAAGGGGAGCGGGCAACAAAACCAACTGCCTCCGGCAAGGCTCTCCCTGTTGCCTCGATGGTTTCCTCCGGTCACGTGGGTCTCCGTCAAAATTCTTTAAAGCTGCAAGGGCAAAGAGAGGCATTAGAAATGTCATCCTGGTGGACACCCCAATGCAGGTGGGGGGGGGATACCTTTTCAAGGGCCAGCAGATTTAAAGGAAGAGCGATAGAGACAGATTTTTCAGAAGGCTTCCAAGCTAAAGCAGTTCCTGTTGCATCCTCTCTGGCTTGGGCAAAGTCCCTGGGTGAGTTGAATGCCTTGTGAGTTGAACGTTTTGGCTCCCAAACGCCGCAAACCTGGAAGTGAGTGTTCTGGTTTGCGAACGTTCTTTGAAACCCAAACATCTGACGTGGCTTCCGATAGGCTGCAGGAGCTTCCTGCAGCCAATCGGAAGCTGCGCCTTGGTTTCCGAATGCTTTGGAAGTCAAACGGACTTCCGAGGTACCACTGTATTTTGTTTTAATCTTATTGTTTCGTTTTGGTTGTAGGCTGCATATATTTCCACCCTGGTGCCTTTGGGTGGATGAGAAATGCTTTTAGATAAATAATTTATAAAATGATCATTATAGATCACATACATCAAGCTTCTGCAAGTTGTGATCCTTACATAGCCCAAATGTCACAGAATGCATAAAAATTGGGGGGGGGGGGGATGGACTGCAGCATTTCAAGTAGTAAAAAAAAAATGTAACCAACCCCACTTGAAGCAAGGGGTAGGGTGGGGCACCGAAAAAATGGCCCAATAGGAATTGAGCATCCTCATTGGATACAGGATGCTAAATACCTGGTGTGCGTATGTCTAATACAGATCTGGAGGCTAGTGGTGAAATGGGAAAGGGCATGGCTGGCAGAAGAACAGGTGCTCCGCACACTGCAACAATTTGTTGCAGCTCATAATAATAGTAGTAGCAATAATAATAATAATAATAATAATAATAATAATAATATGACCTAGACCAGTGGTTCCCAATTAGCTAATTACTGAGGACCCCCTATTTTTCAAAAGCCAAACCACAGACCCCCTACTTTTGACAATTTTGATTACTCTGCAGCAGTTACCTCTACAAAGTACTTTTTTCGAACAAAATGTGGGTAGCCCCTAATAAGCAAAGGATTTTAGGTATACTAAAAACAGACCATAAAATTTGTGATATTAGCCTGCAAAAAAATTGACAAAAATTTAGTTGGGGGGAGGCAAGGGACGGGACTGCAGACCCCCCTGGGTGCGTTCCATGGATGCCCAGAGGTTCCTGGACCCCTAATTGGAAGCCACTGACCTAGACAGAAAGTTACCCTTAAGGACAGGCATCTATTGTGCATTTATGCCATTTGATGCCATATACCAGTCTGTATTTCCCATGTGCCAGTCTGTATTTAATCAGGATTTACATTTTCCATGCTAAGTTTTTTTAGATAAAAAAATAAGAAACACCTGTTGCCAGTGTCCTGTGTGCGAGATCTGAATTTGCATTCTGGAAGCACCCTCTGGATGAAAACTGGATTTAAATGCCCATCCACCAAGTTCATATTGCAATATGAACCTATTTCCGTTCTTTCTGACCAAAGCTGGATGTCACCCAGCAGCAGATGGCTGCTCACAGTCGTATTGCTGCTGGAGGGGCGAGAAGGGCAGCTAGGTGCAAATGCATCAGCAGATAATCTTCAGTGGCGCATTTGCACTGCAATGACTTTGCTGCTGGTAAACATAAGTGCTGCAACCGACTGGAGGTCAAAGAAGGAGTGTTGCCCCACCAGGTTGCCCATTCCTGATGTCCCCAACTGCACCCCTTGCTCTAAGCCCATTCCTTCGTTTCAGGTTTAGAATTCAAGAGGAAGCAGAAGAAAAATCAGTCAAGAAGTTGGGAATAGAGGATCTTCAGAGGTGACCACAGAAATGCAGACTCACAAGAAAGAAGTGTGAAAACCCGTGGAAACTCAGTGGATTGCTTAGGGCTCTCTTGGCTCCTTCTAAGTTCCCATGAACACCAGTTCCACCACCAGAGTACAACAGCCTCGCTTATTCTAACAGAGGTGGCAGAAGGCCAAGGAAGGAGTGATGAAACCTTTGACCATGAGGTCCCAACGAGAGCAGAAAGCAGGAGATGACCTACTAAGTAACACCAGGGGCTTGAGAAGTAGACTTACCATGACTTATGGCCCCAGAACATGCCTACTCAAGAGTGATGTCTGACCTGTGAACACAATCGATATATAGTGGTACCAGGGTTCTTGGGAGAGTAGGTGGGAGATGAAGAGCATGCTTCATTACGCAACATGGCTTCATACTTTAAAACAGTGGTCATCAGGGACTAGCTAGATGTTCCAAGGGACATTTAGCATCTCCCCTGGGGATCTCCCCAGCCATGTGGCACATGAGCTTACCAACTGAAGCCCTGATCTGGGTGCCCCTGCCTCCGTTAGTCGCATGGCCACCAGAAATAGGGCCTTTGTTGTAGTGGCTCCTGGTTATGGAATACCTTTAAGCCAGAAAGTGGGCCTTTGCTGTGGTGGCACCCCTTATTACGGAGCACTCTCCCCAGATGCTTTCACCTGGTGCTTAGAGTGGTACCTCTGGTTACGAACTTAATTCATTCCAGAGGTCTGTTCTTAACCAGAAACCGTTCTTAACATGAGGTACCACTTTAGCTAATGGTGCCTCCTGCTGCTGCCACGCCACCGGCGCACAATTTCTGTTCTCATCCTGAAGCAAAGTTCTTAACCCGAGGTACTACTTCCGGGTTAGCGGAGTCTGTAACCTAAAGTGTTTGTAACCTGAGGTACCACTTTATTGCTCTATCTTTAGGCACTGGCTTAAATCTTCCCCATTTTTACTAAGCATTTTCCTATAACATGGGAATTGTTCTCTTTTTAATGGTTGCCTAATGGTTGCCTAATTAGGCTGCCTAATTTTCTTTCACTTATAAGGTATGCTTTTTGTTTGTTTCAAAATCTATTTTTTCTATTTTATCCTGGTTTGGTTTTAACATTCAAACACAGGTCCCCTTCAAATGTTGGAACTTCAGGGTAGGAATTGTTTGGAAATGTTTTGGCAGCAGGCTGGTCACTCCCTAGAGGGGGAGACCAATGTTAGTCCTACTCGGAGTAAACTTACCAAATGACGAGACGTGACTCAGGAGACTTATGGCCACATTCACACCATATATTTAAAGCAGTATCATGCCACTTTTTAACAGAGCTGCCTTTCTCCAGAGAAGCTTGGGAACTGAGGCTTCTTAAGGGAGCTGTTGGAGATCCCTCTTCCCCTGCCAAAATGATAATTCCCAGAGCTGTTTAATAATCCATCCCTCTTCACAAGGAACTTTGGGAATTGTGGCTCCATGAGGGGAATAATACTAATAATAATTTATTATTTATATCCCTGCCCATCTGGCTGGCTTTCCCCAGCCACTCTGGGCGGCTTCCATCAAAATATTAAAATACAATAATTCATCAAACATTGAAAACTTCCCTGAACAGGGCTGCCTTCAGATGTCTTCTAAAAGTCAGATAGTTCTTTATTTCCTTGACATCTGATGGGAGGGTGTTCCACAGGGAGGGCGCCACTACTAAGAAGGCCCTCTGCCTGGCTCCCTGTAACCTCACTTCTCACAGGGAGGGAACCGCCAGAAGGCCCTCGGCACTGGATCTCAGTGTCTGGGCTGAACGATGGGGGTGGAGACGCTCCTTCAGGTATACTGGGCCGAGGCCGTATAGGGCTTTAAAGGTCAGCACCAACACTTTGAATTGTGCCCAGCGTCTCCTAACCCCACTCAACACCCTTGATAAACTACAGCTCACATAATTCGTTTAAAGTGGTTTCACAGTGTTTTAAATGTATGCTGTGAATGTGGCCTATGTCTCCCACGACGGCTGTCTGTGCCTCATTTTGGGGAGCTCATCTTTGAGAACCACTGCTTTAAAAATACGGCCGTTCTTCTTTCTCAATCACGCTCATCCCCAAATCAAAACTCTTGGTGATTTGTTAACAAGGTACAAACGGTTATGGGAGTGTTGACAAATTGTGAAGACCAAGGCAATTATGTGGCTGCGCCGATGATTTCCTAGACATGATAGCCAAAATATGATTTCCCCCCCAACTTGAAATTCATTTCGATTATAGCATTCAGGGGCATTAGTCAAGAAGTCAAGAGGGGGCATCTGTGGGTCCCATGGCATGACAATGGCTTGCAGAAACAGGCACCAAATGTTTCAGTTTGATATTGGCTCTGCAGTCTTAAATCTGAATATTCATTTTAAAAATAGCACATATGGAAATGGCCAAATTATGGAGGGAAATGCTCCATAGAACATAAGTTGAGCCCTGTGAGGATCTTCCTCACAGTGGCTGACCAGATGCCTATGGGAAACCTATAAGTAGGACCTGAGTGCAACAACACTCTCCCATCTGGAAGTTTTCCAGAAAATGGTCTTCAGAAGCACACTGCCTCTGACCATGAAGGCAAAGCGTAGCCATCATGGCTGATATCTCTGTTATTTCAGTGCTGTTTGGGACTCTGTTAGAACACTGTCCTTTCTTGGCCATAAGCAAACTAAGATGATCCATGTTGGATCATAGCAAAATTCTATCTAGCTTAGCATCCTGCTTCCAACCAGATATTTCTGGGAAACCTACAAGCAGGGCATGAGGGCGGTGGCATTCTGCCACTGTTAGGTTCCACAGCAACTGGTACAGTCAAACCTCGGTTGTCGAACGTCATCCGTTCTGGAAGCCCATTTGGCTTCCAAAATGTTTGACAACTGAGGTGCAGCTTCCAGTTGATTGCAGGAGCTTCCTGCCCTCAAGCGGAAGCTGCATTGGACATTCAGGTTCCAAAAAACGTTCAAAAACCGGAGCATTTACTTCTGGGTTTTCGGTGTTTGGGAACCGAAACATTCCAAAACGGAGGCGTTCAGGATCCGAGGTTTGACTGTATTCAGATGCATGCAGTCTCCAATGATGAAGGCAGCCTATGGCCACCACAACTAGGACAGCCTTCAGATCCATGAATTCATCTAATCTCCCTTTAACGCCATCCATGTTGATGGCCACCATCATTGTGGTAGTGAACTTTCCAGTTTAACTATGAGCTGTGCGAAAAAGTACTTTATTTGATCGGGCCGGGATCTCTACCACAGCCTCGTTGGGATGGTTCTAGGTCATACAACTTGTTCATCTTTCCCACCCTGATCTACGTGTTCGAATCCCGCTTGATCCAGTTGAGATGATCATGTTCAACCCAAGTTAATAACTGGGTTTCTGCTCCAGAAAGCTAGGACAATGCAGGTGAATTCGCCGTCCTAGACGCATCACACCTTTGCTCTATTTGGGTGAACTTAAATCTCAAAGATAGGTCACAGAAACTGTGTGTTTTGCTACTGTGTTTTTGCCTCACAGATGCCCCGGGGGGGGGGAGAGGGAAATCAAGAGAAAAATCATACCCTGAAATTTGCACACGCACCCTGCTCCACTAGATGGGAAGAGAGAACCAATGGGCATACTCACACTGCAAACTATTTCATATCCAACACTACTGGTTCTGTTAATGCCACACAAGAGCTAGGAAGGCACATGGGGGAGAAGGTTGCTGTTAGTATTGGTTAAGGATTGGTGGGCATGTTGGGAGTGGTGGTGGTAGAGAAATTGGGGTTCATTCTATCATGACCAGAGCTCCACTCGACTCTTTGCAGGAGAAGTCAGTTAGAAGGGGCAACGCCACGCACTGAGGTCTCCGGGCAGTGACATCGCTGGTGCTTCCCAGGAGGGAAAGGGGCATCAGTGGAAGTGCTGGATGGGCTCTGCCCATGTGCCCAAACAGTGCCAACTTTCCTGCTGCTCCAGCAACATCACTGCAGGGAGGCCAAAGTGTGTGGCAGCACCGCTCCTGGTTCTTTGGGAGCCTGGTTCACAAGTGTCCCTTTAGGTATGACCGGAGGTTGATGACTTTAAGTATGACTTTCATAGTGGAGTTTGATGCTTGTATCTTGGCACGATAAGTCAAGTTATTGAACCAGCCTTTCGGTCAGGCAAAGGGATAGCAGGAAACAAACCACAAAGTCTTTCATTACCTAAAGTTTCCCATCTCGTCTGAACTGGGGAACTATGGTGAACGCCTTCCAAACAAGCCAGGATATTAAGCTAACCTCAAATCATGGTTTAACATCCTGGGGCTGTTGTTGTTGTTTAATCGTGTCCAACTCTTCATGACCCCATGGACCAGAGAACGCCAGGCACTCCTGTCTTCCACTGCCTCCTGCAGTTTGGTCAAACTCATGCCACCAGCATGAGAACATCCTGGGGCAGGCATGTCCAAAGTCTGCCTCGGTGGCCTAATCCGGCCCGCGGGTCAGTTTAATCCGGCCCCTGTGGCAGTTTATTTCCTTGGGTAAAATCCTAAAAAACCCTCAACAACTTCAATCCTAAAAAAAGGATAACAACTTTGGTTGGCCCTTCGGTAGGCCCTCACGGCCCTTCACTTCATCAAATCTGGCCCTCTTTGAAAAAAGTTTGGACACCGCTGTCCTGCCCCCCCAAAGCAGCTAACCACAGCTTGGTTCGGATGATCCAGAAAACTACAGTGAAATAGGTGGCTTTCTCTTTGCTCTTGCAAAGGGAAGAGCCACTGGGTTGTTTGCGTGTGCAGGCAAAAGCCTTTTTTCTTTCTTGGCTTTTTAAGAGGAGATACCATGGTCTGAGCATGGTCAGAACATCTGCAGTCCAGAGGATCCCTGCTCAGGGCTTCACCTGTGGTCTTCCCTAGCAGAAACTCCACTGCTTAATTCCGGTGTTAAGTTCCAAGAGCACTTGGGTTGTGGAACATTTGTTGGGGGTGGCTAACTGGGAAAAATTCTGAGAAATCAGTGTGTTTCAAGCTATAATCCTTTGCATGCTTATCTGGGATAAAACCCCACTGAGGATAGCAGGACTTTTCTATGTACCAGACACATACAGATCAACTGAAGATGGGAAGTAATCAATCTCATAGCGGGGTGATCTGCAGTGCTGTTACAGATCTGTTACAGTGCTGGATCCACACCGCAGCTCTGTATCTACCTTAAATTTATTTTCTTTTTGCTGCCACCAGAATTTTTGTGTGTGTGAGGCCAGATCTGGGCCGCAAACTAGGGGTTAGCCATTCCTGAAGTAAAACATGTGTAAGATGGTTAAGTGCTCTTTTGAGAAGGAGAATTCTGAGAATGCTTTCAGTCTGTTCATGACTGCCCCATGAGCTGCTGGCGCATGTCAAAAACGCCCTGTCAAACATGTCTGATAAAAGCCCCACCAAGAATTGAGCATCGCTATCCTGGATTTTCCAAGCATGCTCCAAATATGCAGGTAAATCTGACCGCACGTCATCCAATTCCAGCGTAGCAGGTCTCAGTAGAACATTTCAGAACAGAACACCGCCATCTTGTTTCGCTTTGTGCACACTCAACTGGCCCAAGATGGCAGCATGTATTGGCAGGGGAATTCAACAGGGCTTCACTGACAGGCTGGTAAAACTTAAAATTCAAGGGAATCTGGGGGTGGAAATTTTTAAAGCACCAGTGAACCACAGGTCCCTGGAATCATACATTCCAAAATATTCAGCCTCTGCAAACACCTACCCTCGTTTTCTTCCGCAGGAGCCGCACCACCCTCGTATTTCTTTGAACACCACACGTGAAAGGAACTGGAAGGGGAAGATATACTCAGAGTTAATGATGGCAGTGGCTGTTTGGTGCATGCAGATATCCCACCAGTGTTTGTCCAAGACGCTGCAATGATGTTGCTGTGCTAAAGGCACCAGAAGCTGCCTTACACCTATTCAGACCCATTGGTCAATCCCACTCAAGCTTTCATCTGCTGCATGAGAGGACTGCTCCCACTTGCCCCACCAAGCAACAGTTGCTGTCCATACCCATTGTCTTATTCTGAGTCAGCTCAATGGTCACTAACACCAGGCATCCCCAAACTCGGCCCTCCAGATGTTTTGGGACTACAATTCCCATCATCCCTGACCACTGGTCTGTTAGCTAGGGATGATGGGAGTTGTAGTCCCAAAACATCTGGAGGGCCGAGTTTGGGGATGCCTGGTCTACACAGACTGGCAGCAGCTCTCCGGAGTTTCAGATGGGTGTCTTTCCAAGCCCCAACTGGAGATGACAAGGATTGAGCCTGGTACCTTCTGCAAAGCTCTACCACTGAGCTACGATCCTTCTTCAAAATTATACACAGACAAATGCAGTTGGAAAGGAAAGACCCCATGATTTTCATATAGAGCTGCTATTTCTCCATTGGTCTACCTAGACCAGTACTGTCAGCTCTTGACAGACAGCAGCTTTCCATAATCTCATTTGTGTTCTTTCTCAGGTCCGCTGTACTGAGATCCTTTGAACTGGAGATGATGGGGAATGCAATCTGGGACCTCCTGCAAGCAAATCGTCTGCTCTACCACTGAGCTGCAGGTGGTTCCCAACTTAGGTCAGGATTGGTGTAGCAATATCAGCTGTTCTCAAGGGTTTACCCAACTGAGGTTTAATTTTGGTAGGATTCACCCATTAGCTAATGGCAGGGATGGAGACCTCTGGACATTATTCATCTCCATTCTCATCAACACCAGCTTGAATGGCCAACCATCAGGGATGAGGGGACTTACAGGTCCCAAAAAGTCCTACTCAGATGAGACCCCTTGAAAATTAATGGACCTAAGTTAGTTGTGGCACAGGGACAACTCTTGAGTAGGATTGGCACTGGATATAACCCATAGTCAATCAACATCTGGAGGGCCACCAGTTCCTGATCCCTTAGCTCACCATATCAAAAGACTGTGCAGACAGGGGCAGTAAGGCGACATGGGATGTCTCACAGAATGGTTGGGTTAAAAGAGGAATTGATGTTGAATGCTCTGCAAAAGGAAACTCACTAGGCAAGCCAGGAGATCGGCGGCCATCAACATGTAGAAGACATTGTCCCAGCCGGTGCGAGAGATCACACCTGCCAGCAGGGGTCCAAGGGCAGCACCTGCAAAATGGAAAAAAGAGTGATGCAAAGGATCAGCAAGCAGCCAAGAGCGAAGCCCAGCTCATGGCAATAAGGCAGGTTCCTTCTAGCACAGATGGCACAGAAAACCTATGTAGCAAATCCTACATGGTGGTGGTGGAAGAAGACTCAGGAGTTAGAGATTACCAGCGTGTATTCACAGTTAAGAACAAAAGACCTGCTGTGCTGGAACACAGTGAAGGTTCTTCTAGCCAGGACTATGCATCTAACAGGGTGGCAGCCATATACCCTGAGCTCACAAGAAGTGCATGGTGGCAAAAGCATTTGGTGATCTCTGAATGTGGGGGTTCTGTTTGTAGCTAACATGGCTGACTGCTGTTGACAGATTGACCATTTACAGCACTGGTTCTCAACCTGTGGGTCCCCAGATGTTGTTGGACTACAAACTCCCATCATCCCTGAGCTCTGGCCTTGCTAGCTAGGGTGATGGGAGTTGTAGTTCAACAACATCTGGGGACCCACAGGTTGAGAAAAGCTGATTTACAGCATGGGTAGGCAAACTAAGGCCGGGGGGCCGGATCTGACCCAACTGCCTTCTAAATCCGGCCCGCGTACGGTCCGAGGAATCAGCGTGTTTTTACATGAGTAGAATATGTCCTTTTATTTAAAATGCACCTCTGGGTTATTTGTGGGGGCCTGCCTGGTGTTTTACATGAGTAGAATGTGTGCTTTTATTTAAAATGCATCTCTGGGTTATTTGTGGCATAGGAATTTGTTCATTCCCCCCCCCTTCAAAATATAGTCCGGCCCCACACAAGGTCTGAGGGACAGTGGACCAGCCCCCTGTTGAAAAGTTTGCTGACCCCTGATTTACAGGGGGTACAGAAGCAGGGGTGTGACCAGGGATGTTGGAGAGCCCTACAGATTTGTCTAAGACATATAGGAGCACAGGAACGGACTTCTACAACAGCCATTGGGCCATCCAGCTCAGTGGGGTCCACAGAGAGTGGGGGGCTACCCTTCCCAACTCTCAGGGTGGGGGCACATGTCAAAGTTGGTGTGGCCATCTTTTAAAAAAGAAAAGTTTACTTGGGGGGGGTAACCAAACCTTTGGCATTGCAGAATCACAGTGGGGTAACTATGGGAGCAGTCAGCTTAAGAAGGTATTTTGATGATGATGATACTACTTTAAAAAATCGCAGATTTGGGGAACCACAAAAAGTCTTTTGGCATTACAGTATTACAATGGGTGACCTAGGAAACAATCAGTATAGCTCGCCCAAGGCATGATGGAGAACAGCAAGAACCGGGAAAAGATAGACATAACATTTTAAAGGACAGGAAGAGACATAATGGACGAATTATTGTCACACACAGGAAGAACAAGGATATAGTTTGATTGCCTCACTTGCAATTTTATAAATCATTTCATGTGTCAATACAAATGGAATTGTTAATACTGCAGTTGTTGTATAAGGCATTGTTATTTTGACCAGAGTGTAATTGAAGTTATTAAGACTTTGGAACGCATAAATAAAGTAAACTTCAAACCAACAACTCTAGCATGTAGGGGCAAATTAATGCAAATTAACTCCTAGGCCAGGTGTTGAGAAACTATGGCCCTCCAGGTGTTGCTGGACTGCACTCCCATCATCCCTGGCCATTGGCCGTCTGGCTGGGGCTGATGGGAGTTGTAGTTCAACAACATCTGGAGGGCAAAGCTTCCACACTTGCCTAGCTTCTCAGCTACTGACCGACAGATCCCTTCCATCAATGATGGCTGTAACAGTGGCAAGGGCCTTTGCGTTTCCTTGGAGACATTCATGAGTGCCCTGGGTGGAGAAGAAGGGGGGGGGCAAAGAAAGATTACAAGGTTAAAGGAAAATGTCACACATGAATATTGCAAGGTTCCTGTTGCTCTGGGGGCAGGACTGGAACCAGTTAGTGGCGGAAAATTCAGGAAAGTGGATTTTAGTTGGCTATTAGGAGGTTTAGATGACATGGTAGCAAAACCATTGCTTAGTTCAGCAAAGCAGCAAAATGACTGGAGAATAATAATAATAATAATAATAATAATAATAATAATAATTAATTATTATATTATTATTATTATTATTATTATTATTATTATTATTATCTCCAGTCATTTTGCTGCTTTGCTGAACTAAGCAATGGTTTTGCTTACCATGTCATCTAAACCTCCTAATAGCCAACTAAAATCCACTTTCCTGAATTTTCCGCCCACTAACTGGTTCCAGTCCTGCCCTCCAGAGCAACAGGAACCTTGCAATATTCATGTGTGACATTTTCCTTTAACCTTGTAATCTTTCTTTGCCCCCCCCCTTCTTCTCCACCCCAGGGCACTCATGAATGTCTCCAAGGAAACGCAAAGGCCCTTGCCACTGTTACAGCCATCATTGATGGAACGGGATCTGTCGGTCAGTAGCTGAGAAGCTTAGGCCAAGTGTGGAAGCTTTGGCCCTCCAGATGTTGTTGAACTACAACTCCCATCAGCCCCAGCCAGCACGGCCAATGGCCAGGGATGATGGGAGTTGCAGTCCAGCAACACCTGGAGGGCCATAGTTTCTCAACACCTGGCCTAGGAGTTAATTTGCATTAATTTGCCCCCTACATGCTAGAGTTGTTGGTTTGAAGTTTTACTTTATTTATGCGTTCCAAAGTCTTAATAACTTCAATTACACTCTGGTCAAAATAACAATGCCTTATACAACAACTGCAGTATTAACAACTTCCATTTGTATTGACACATGAAATGATTTATAAAATTGCAAGTGAGGCAATCAAACTATATCCTTGTTCTTCCTGTGTGTGACAATAATTCTGTCCATTATGTCTCTTCCTGTCCTTGTAAAATGTTATGTCTATCTTTTCCCGGTTCTTGCTGTTCTCCATCATGCCTTGGGCGGAGCTATACTGATTGTTTCCTTAGGTCACCCATTGTAATACTGTAATGCCAAAAGACTTTTTGTGGTTCCCCAAATCTGCGATTTTTAAAGTAGTATCATCATCATCAAAATACCTTCTTAAGCTGACTGC